CATTAGCTGATAAATTACACATCCTGTTGTCAACATAAACGTTTTCACTGATTCTAAGTGCAGTGTGATTACTCTAAGTTTTCCATAAAAACATTTTAGCATATATGATTAGACCTCCTGTTCTGAGAGCAGGGGTCAAGATGACAATCTTTTCGCACAATTTACTGGTTTATAACGCGAGGTTGTACTTTAGTCATTGACAGTGAAATAAACACAAAAAATAAATGTGAAATGTTTAGCAATTCAACTTGTAAGAGAAGTATTTTGAAACTTTGTGACCAATAATAACGAAAAAAGGCACAGCTGCTCTTTTCATTTCTAATTTTACAACTTGTCTTTTCATTATACTTTTGGTATTCGTCTACAGGCTCAAGACTCAAGTGTATCATTAAATAACTGATAAGATATAGTTTTAGTGAAAACAAACATTTAAAATGTATTTAGGAAGTTTTAAAGATTACACAAAAGAAATTTGAGATTTTGGGAATGAAGAATAGTACTTTTAATCATGAAAATCACTTCCACTCGGACTAGTAACGAAACAGACTTGATATATTCACAAACAAATCTTTAGTAAAAATACTTTATTAAAAAATCTAATTTTTTGTGTACAAAAGACTTGTAATGTTTACTAAAAGTCTACCAAATTTTGTGAAGATACACATACAGCATTAAAAGTTATAGTATCAATACTAAACATGTTCAAATATGTATATGAACTCGTGTATATTATAACAAGCCCATTGAGAAAGGATTAATGCTGTAAATTACCACTAGCCTAACCTTCCTCCTTGATGTTGTAGGTTAGCACTACCTTAACCTCTCCCCCAGTGATGTTGTAAGTTATCACTGACCATAAATGTCTCCCCACTTACACTCACACACTGTATATAATACTCCCTAACGAACTTTTCAATATCAAACTGATGTAATGATTGTTTAATTTCAGGAGCTTTGTTCTATTATTAGCTTAATAGCTACACACACAATTCAGTTTCACAGCTTCTTTTGTAAATCAAAGAAAAGATCCTATTGTTTAAACACATACAATAGTCCGTTTATTCCTCCCCACAGTTTGTTTAAACACATACAATAGTCCATTTATTTCTCCCCAGTTTGTTTAAACACATACAACAGTCCATTTATTCCTCCCCACAGTTTGTTTAAACACATACAATAGTCCGTTTATCCCCCCCACAGTTTGTTTAAACACACACAATAATCCGTTTATTCCGTCCCACAGTTTGTTTAAACACATACACATACAATAGTCCTTTATTCCTCCCCACAGTTTGTTTAAACACATACAATAGTCCGTTTATTCCTCCTCACAGTTTGTTTAAACACACACAATAGTCCATTTATTCCATCCCACAGTTTGTTTAAACACATACAATAGTCCGTTTATTCCTCCCCACAGTTTTTCTGAAAACAATATGGTAACTTTTGACTTACCTTCTCACGATATTACAATCAAATTTCACCCCAAACTTCTCCAGGATAGGTTTAAAGACCTAAAACAAATTATATATCCGCCTGTACTAAAATAACAAATAAAATAAAAAACATTTCAAAATCAATGATAAATTTAGATATCATAAAATTCATACACCAAATAATTCTAGTTATTTCTTTACATTAGTTCATTAGTTAGCCAATCTGCATTTTTTGTTCAACCTGGAACATGACAGTGGGTAAAACAAAATACTCGACCTGGCTAAATAATGAATGAATATTTGTGTGTAAAATTCTTATCAATGCTATAAGTGTAGCTACTAGTTTGGCCACCAATTTTGATTTCATTCCTTTAAGTCGAACACACTCAATCCTTTTTCGGCTGCATCATTTTTCATAACTAAGGTGTTTTGGATTAGATATCATGACTTTTTGTCAATACTTACCAACAACCCACAGCAAGTAAGAAAGTGACACTCAACAGTAACCAACATTAAGTTTAGCATCGCAACCCTATTATTCAGAACAGACGTTTACTATACAGAACCAGCCATTTAAACCCAATATATGGTGGAAGTTTTTCCTCTCTAAAACAGTATTAATAACTTCCTTTATAGTAATGCCATGGAATCTAGATTAACAGTTTCTTGTTACCACTTACATGCACTCGGTACAGCTGTATCAAACATCATTATTTATAATAAACAGTATGGTTTAACATTATTGACATATCATACAGTATCAGATGTTGACAGATTGTAACAGCCAGCACATCACTATAGTATCTAACAAAAGTCCTCTTGCTATTACATACCATCAAAAACTCAAGAACATTTCACCTATTCTACAAAACCTGTCCATCTACTTCATCTTATAGATAATTTAAGACATATTCCTGTTGTTTCTACATAGAAAAACCCAAATCTGAAAACATTCTGTTCACGCTAAAGTTATAAAATTACTAAACTACCTCACAGACAGGCTCACGACTTCATAGAATTACTAAGTAACCTCACAGACAGGCTCATGACCTTATAAAATTACTAAACAACCTCACAGACAGACCAGTGACCTTATAATCAAGTTTATTTCATACCTGTACATACATGAAAACTATTGACACGTTCTCCAGCAACACAAGCAAAAGCACTTGTATTACATGAAACACCTTACAGTGTAAAACATTTACCCATCAGTATGTTTGACTAATCCAAACTACTCACAGAGAAAATTTTAGTAACCATAAACCTTTCATTAATAATCAAACAGACCTTCAACATTTTAATCAACCTGATCCTTCTATCATTAAGTGGCTCCATCTAGGGATATCAATAGGAGAAATAAGTTTACTGGGTTGAAACTCTTAGTAGTGTTAACCCTTACAGCACAACTCTCACTACTGTTAATGCTTACAGCACAATGACTCTTAGTACTGCTAACCCTTACAGCACAATGCGATCCTTGACTTTTTATATGACTTCCCTATGAGTTAAATATTAAATTTCTACTTTTGACTTTTCATTGTTACCTATATCTATACATCTTACTTACTTTAAACCTTTATTGCTATAGAAAGAATTTTTTGAGTGGTCAGTTCATTGCATGCCCCTTAGAAAAATTATGAAAATGTAATGCTACGAGATTGAACCTTCAGCCATTTTAACTACAAATACTGCGTACACACAACGTAATATATCGAATGAAAGGATGCAACTTTTAATACATAAGATGTACCTACACATGCCACGGCCTGATTGGTCGTACCGCTTCCTGTGTCGAACACCTTTTATATTCAAAAACACATTCCTAATACCTAACCTGATATTTTTATCTATTATTTTGAATAGACAGACTAGAGGAAAGATAGATAACAGCATCCACCACAAACTCTTATCTGACAGAACATGGGTATTTGATAATTACTCTTATCACACACTCACAACCTCAAACTATATATCATGATTTTTTTTTCTTTTTGCAGCAATGGGCTGTGAACTTTGAACCCTCAGCTCCAGCCAGCACATTAACAAATAAGCTAAGTTATTATAATTGTTTCTTAAATGATAAAAACACTGAATTCTTCAATTCATACACTAATTTCAAATCTAAAATATAAGAGCAATTCTTATATGCTTAAAAAATACTTTTACAAATATCCACTTAATTTTTTATAGAAAATTACAAGTTCACCAATTTTTCTATTTAGATTCTTTATGTAACATACTTTACACTTTCTTATATTGTCTCCTCTTGACCAGCATGCTGCTCGTTTGACATTTCCAGAAGATTTACCTACCATTAGCGTGTAGTCTATCTGAGGAGCCATTTCAGCATTTGTCCCACCACGCAGGGATAACCGACTTGGTCCCCCTCCAAACAAGAGACATGGAAAGGCCACTTGAAATAACAGCATCACACTCCTAAGCAGAGAGGAAACAAATAGATGAAAGTGTAAGCCTTATTACCAAAAATCAAGACCTTCGCGCACACTCACCATTAAGTAATGGTCAAACGGGGGAGAACTAGTAACATCGGTGCCTCCTTTGATCATAATAGTTGAGGCTTCAATGCTGAACACCAAACAAGGTAAAGCTATCTGCAATATGAGGCAGATACTCCTGAAAGAAGTCCACAACAGGAAAACACTTCAGAGAGCTTACTAAGTTATCAAAGTTAACTTGACAACAGCAGATTTAGAGCTGTATCAAAAAATGATGTGAAGTCTGTTAGTCTTAGCAAATAATTACTATCGCAGCACATGACATACAAGTTTAATATTATCTTTTGTTAGTCTTAGCAAATAATTACTATTACAGCACATAACATATTACCTTTTGTTAGTCTTAACAAATAATTACTATCACAGCACATAACATCCAAGTTCAATATTACCTTTTGTTAGTCTTAGCAAATAATTACTATCACAGCACATAACATCCAAGTTTAATATTACTTTTTGTTAGTCTTAGCAAATAATTACTATCACAGCACATAACATCCAAGTTTAATATTACCTTTTGTTAGTCTTAGCAAATAATTACTATCACAGCACATAACATCCAAGTTTAATATTACCTTTTGTTAGTCTTAGCAAATAATTACTATCACAGCACATAACATCCAAGTTTAATATTACCTTTTGTTAGTCTTAGCAAATAATTACTATCACAGCACATAACATCCAAGTTTAATATTACCTTTTGTTTAGTTTTACAAATTCTAAAGGTAATGTCTAACTACCCTAATTTACTATAACTTATCAACCATAATTTCACAACAAACATGTTTACCCTGCTGTGCCCGTATTAGCAACAAACTCTCCTGACTTCACAGGTCCGGGGTAGAAGGATATATCTGTTGAGCCAATTTCACCTCCCTTGAGCCGTCCTCCACAGAGATCACGGACGAGCTGTAGTCCTGTTAAATGCTGAGGTCTATCGGAATCATTTTTATTACTTAACAGTTTTCTCAATCAATAATGTTCATAATCCAATTATTTCAATAAAATGTGAATTCAAAACATTTTAAATAAAAATAAATACTCAACGATGTAGTACAAGTTTCCCTGGAAGTTATTCAAAATATTTATTTTCTGTAATAGGGTTTTATTTAGAGGTTAAAATAATATTATTATTTGTACAATTCCTACTCAGTTATGTAGTACTGTTTTTGCTACCAGAATTTAAGGTATTTTTTTGTGTTTGTTTGTTAAAACTGATAAATAATCCCTCCACAAAGAATTAACCAACCACTTTGATGATGACACAAAATGTTTAATTTTTTGGAACAATTGATATTTCCACATGTAACTATCACCATTATTCAAAATAACCAGAAATATCTTAACTATTTTTATCTGTATTTTACACAATACATATTCAGACCATGTAATAAAACCATATAATCAACTTTCTTTACAAACACTCATTCTAAGCTCTGTAATTCAATATTTTATTTAATATTTATTCTAAGCTCTGTAATTCAATATTTTAGTCAACACTCATTCTAAGCTCTATAATTCAATATTTTAGTCAACACTCATTCTAAGCTCTGTAATTCAGTATTTTAGTTAACACTCATTCTAAGCTCTGTAATTCAGTATTTTATAACACTCATTATAAGCTCTGTAATTCAGTATTTTAGTCAACACTCATTATAAGCTCTGTAATTCAATATTTTATTTAATATTTATTCTAAGCTCTGTAATTCAATATTTTAGTCAACACTCATTCTAAGCTCTATAATTCAATATTTTAGTCAACACTCATTCTAAGCTCTGTAATTCAGTATTTTAGATAACACTCATTATAAGCTCTGTAATTCAGTATTTTAGTTAACACTCATTATAAGCTCTATAATTCAATATTTTATTTAATACTCATTCTAAGCTCTGTAATTCAATATTTTAGTCAACATTCATTCTAAGCTCTGAAATTTAGTTTCATAGTTAACACTCATTCTAAACTGCAGCTCAAAATTCTAAATAACACTGATTCTGAGTTCTGTAGCTCAGTGTTTTATTGTTAACACTGATTCTACATTCTGTAGCTCAATGCTTTATTGTTGACACTGATTCTACATTCTGTAGCTCAATGCTTTATTGTTGACACTGATTCTACATTCTGTAGCTCAGTGTCTTATTGTTAACACTGATTCTAAGTTCTGTAGCTCAGTGTTTTATTGTTAACACTGATTCTACATTCTGTAGCTCAATGCTTTATTGTTGCCACTGATTCTACATTCTGTAGCTCAATGCTTTATTGTTCCCACTGATTCTACATTCTGTAGCTCAGTGTCTTATTGTTAACACTGATTCTAAGTTCTGTAGCTCAGTGTTTTATTGTTAACACTGATTCTACATTCTGTAGCTCAGTGTCTTATTGTTAACACTGATTCTAAGTTCTGTAGCTCAGTG